TGTTTAATGTTACTTTTCTTTAATAATAAGGTAACTCAATTAAACAGTGTTTATTTAATTAACTGAAGTTGGCATAGATCTGTAAGCTATTTAGCGTTTGTTTCGAGGTGCTGATTCCGGTTAGTAATGATCGCCTACTTCATTATTTCACTTTAGTAACCAGCTAAGAATCTGTGGTTGCGTATGAAATGAATATCAGCCACATGATTTTCAATTCATCAAACAGAAACTTCTCGACTAATTTCGCTCCTGCTGTCTCTCTCCACAAACCTATTATTTATTCGATTTTTCTCATACAGCTATAACGGATTTTTACAATGATTTTAACAACACTAAGATTTATCCAATCTTCCTTTTCACCTCTTTCTCTTTTTTCACCCTTTCAGACGATATAACTGCTTTAAAGACCAATTTGGATTTATGCTATATATATATATATATATAATTCTCAAACACTAATATTCCATGGTTATAACGTATTACATTGGGATCGTAATCATTTTTGAATTTGTAGGTCTGAGGAATTGGATCGTGATTTTGATTCCAATGTAATAAATTATAACCATGGAATATTAGTGTTTGAGCCTTTTATATTATATTCTTAATCTGTCCTGGAAATTGAGTTCTAACTGGATTCTATCCTCTTGGAATTTCACATTTTCCCGTTGTCTGTCTTATTCAGTGAAATGTGCATAAAAGGAGCGCTGCCTAAATACACAAATTTTAAATATATATATACATAATTAAGTAATTCATCGAATCTGAAAGAAACGTCAACAGAATGCACTGGACGGCCGTTTCGTCCTATATTTGGGATTCATCAGCAGTGCGCGTCCACTACCGAGAATTGAAACCCTGACAGTTAGGGTGTCAAGCAAACATCATACCAGATGTTCAACGGGCTTCGGTGACGAAAAGATTACAAATCAGACTCAACATAGCGCCGCTCGCTCACATATTCCGTGGTGGAACTGATACTTAGTTCTCTGTAACCATAGGACTGTGCCCCACTGGAGCCCCGACAAATCTCACCAAGCCGCTCACTCTAGCATCAAGCCGTTCACTCTAGAAGCCGGTTCAAGCGATGATATACACAGATAGTAATTATTAGGAGGATTTGATAATTATATTTAATTAATTCATCGAGTCTGATATAAATCTCAACAGAATGCAGAAAGCTCTGGACGGCCGTTTCGTTCTATATAGGTTGTCATGAAACATCATACCAACTGTTCGAACTGGCCTCGGTGACAAGGAGTTTGCAAATCAGACTCAATATAGCGCCGCTCCCTCATATATTCACATGGTGGAATTGAAAATATATTAAAATATATTAAAAGATAAATTTATAATAAACTCAATTTTTTATGTATTTAAAAATAAAAGTATAAAGGTATAAAAAATAAAATAAAAAGTTATATCTAAAAACAAGTTACATTTAAAAATATAAAAATCTTCTTAAACATGCAAAGTTATACTTAAAATATACAAAGTTAAATTCAAAAACAACCTTAAAGTATATAGATAATAAATTGATGTAAATGATAAAAGAAAAGAGAGTTCTTAGAACAGCGGACAATTCATAAGATAAAATTAATATACTGTAAAGATGAGGATATAGAAATTAGGCTTAGTTATATGTTCGACATTTGAAGTGGTAGGGAAATATAGTAACCGCTTCCCTTTAAGACAAATACCTTCCACCCTCCTTTGACCACTGGCACGTGCCATTCGTCTAATTGAAACATTGAAATGGATAAATTCTATATTAGATTTTTCGAGATTTTTCTTTTGGCTTTCACAGTTAAATTTCTGTTTCCGATTGAGGAATTATATATTCGTCAGTTGAAATAGGCTTATTCCTTATATGAAGTGATTTTGGAATTCATTGTGTATTAATTTTTAGCCTGTAATAATAAATACAGTGAGCTCGTTTTGTGAATGAATATTAATATTTTCCTTTACTCGGATCCACTTGGATTAAATACTAACGGATTTATTACCTTTACTATATATATATATATATATATATATATATATATATACATACGCTCCACTCGGAGTTTGTGCACTTTGGAAGAAAGGGAATTTTTCGACTACTGCTAATTAACGCTAAAAGCTCTTCGCTATGAATATCCGGTATTGCTTATATCTCGTATATATTGCGTTAAAAATTCCCTTTTCTTCTAATTCCCATTTGCGGTGATGGCCTAAGAATGAGAGTCCCCAACTGATTTTAAATCGGTCGGGTTTCGATCCCGGCTTGAAGAGATCGCTTTTCTAGTCCCACTGATGATATGTCTGTGGAAGACTATATATATATATATATATATATGTGCGTGTGTGCAGGACGAAAATGTAGGATAATTAAAGATATATATATATATCTTTAATTGACTACGTTTTCTTTATTGAAAATCTTATTGAACCCTCTCTTAATTTTGTTGTCCCGTTCGATAAATACTTATTTTGCCATATATTGAACTTATGCAGTATACACACTCACACACACAAATTATTCAACATTTGGATATCTTTTATCATATTGTTTCTTGATCTAAGCTTTCGGCTCACATGAGACATCTTCCTAATGGTTATACGGACATTTAATTAAAGATATTCAACACTAGCAGTAGAGCCCAGCCTTGCCCGGGGCTATAACAGTAAGAGATAGATCAAGTATCCATTATCATAAAGATTGAAAAATAAAATTGACAAAGATTAAGGTTGACGGGCACGCATGTCTTAATTAGTTTTTTTTTTTTTTTACGAATTGGTCAAACCCAAACTCAAACAAAAACATTGTTTTCAATCGTTAATAGTCTTCCGATTGAATAGAATTTTATTATAAATAATTGTCTTGTAAATGGAATTTTTAAAGCATTCTGAATATTAAAAATAAAGAAAAAAGTGTGCAAGTGAATAAGAAACACTACCCAAAAAAAAAAAAAGTGAATTTTGTTTTATCGGCTGAAAAATATAGGAAATCCAATCCCATATTTAAAGGAACCCACACACACAAACAACCCGATGTGAGTTGTCCCCCTTCCATTTTCGCGATGTCTCTTAATCGTGTTTACAAATTCATTTTGTGCAAAAACAATTATATTTTTTTTTTGGCGTTTTTAGAACCACCACAAGGTAATTTTATGTAGTCCTGTGAAGTTTTGTTGAAATCGGTTGAAATATGTAGGAAATCCGATCCAATATATAAACGTTACACACACACACACACACACACACACACACACACACACACACACGATCTGCATTTTATAATAAGTAAGATTAAAGAAGATATTCTGTTAAATTGCAATAGATCAAGGAAGAGTAAAATAAAAAAATATCATAATGCTGGAAAATTTTTGTCTTTTTTTTCACCCGAAATTAAAGCAAACATATGAAGTTTAGAAATGCTATTGGAAATGAGTTATTGTTTTTGGAGCACGCAGTATCCTTGTTTCTATAAATTTCTATAAAATTTAAAATCAAACTCAGCGTTGCTACTGCGCGCTCCAAAAACAATAACTCATTTCCAATAGCATTTTCGGACACAACAATACATATATTTTAGTTGTCCTCTTATTACTAAGAGAAAAAACAAGAACAACATCTATTCTATACCTGAAGATGTCTGTAGGAACAGACGAAACCTTGTAGTAAAAATAAGAACTAATACGGCAGAAATTTATAGAAACAAGGATCATTTCATTCATAACGGATTCGGAGGTTTTTGTATATTATTTGAATTGTTTGCGACGATGGATTTCTCGCCAATTAAATCATTAACCTTTGCATTTGTTTTTGTGTGAATAATTCATGAATATATATATATATATATATATATATATATATATATATATATATATATATATATATATATACGTCTATTATATATATATATATTTCAAAGAATTAGAAATCAAAGATCCGTCTTCTTACCGGTGGGTAACAACATAAACAACATAAGATATACAGATATAAGCGAGAATAAAGTACTAACCATCAATAGTAAAAAAAAAAAATGAATGCATGGTCAATTTGTCATTAGCATGAGAGACATCCCAAGATATGACGTAACCACGCTTAGGAAGTTAAATCCTCTTAAACAATAGTAAGAAGACCGAAAATAATGCGAAATGTAAAATAGCAAAATCTAAATGTAAAACGTAAGGATTTTACACTTTGATAAAAAGGAGCATTTATTTTTGAAAATAAAATGTAACAAATGAAAAAATCTTATTATTAGCAAGAAAAATAAGTAATAAGCATCTCGATATTCCTCACAGGACATAAGCAGATTAGATCGATTTTCCCTCCTCTGAAAGTTTAAAGAAATTCTTTGCTGCCAAAATTGTAGAATTGAAAACAGCCATGTGATGAGGTGTAACAAAATAAAAGAAAAAAAGGATGCTCTCATTCTGTATTGAAACTGTATCCAAAAATGTGCAAAGCTCATGAATCCCTATAAAATAATCCAGTATATCTGTGACTTGAGACGTGTTTAATGAATCAGCTACTTTCGAGAGAGAAAAACAGATTTAAAACATATTGACATTAACACGAGAAGCCGAGTTCAATAGACAGAGCTTCTGATGTCACTTGTCTATTATAAATACTAGAGTAGCACAAAAATAAAATGATTTAAAAGAAGCGCCATTTTTACCACAAGCAAAACTGTTTAAATTTCAAGTTTCAAATAAAAGAAATGTTTACAGGAATAAGTTCGGATTTGAGTGCGGGATTGTCTCGTCGACAGTAACTGGATATTTTACCGGGATCGACTAAACATTTAGAAGCTGGATTATATCCATTTCAATGGCTTAAGGATGGTTTATGAAAATGAAATAACGCGCTGATAGCAATCTTTTCTTAGGTGACCACTTTTCGGTGTGTTCCTCGTCACGTGGAAATTAAAATGGAAATGACTGGCAATGGGACTGTTTAAAAAGAGACTGTAATTTTAACTTTCCAATAGAAGGAGATTATTCAAATAGAAGTCAGACATAGATATCCATGTTACATTCGCTTTCGTAAAATTTGACAAACAGATGAATACAAATAGACCGAGATAGATAGATAGATAGATAGATAGATAGATAGATAGATAGATAGATAGATAGATAGATCATGTGTGAACAGACTAGATAAAACTGAGATAGATAGATAGATAGATAGATAGATAGATATGAACTGACTGAGATAGATAGATAGATAGATAGATAGATAGATAGATAGATAGATAGATGTAACAAAATATCAGTTTCTCTCGGCCATTTCCGAAGTGAATATTCCTTGGCCGCAATATATCTAAAAGTATAACCGTGTAAACTATGAGATTCACCATTACTCTTGAGACCTCGTCCCTCACGCGATATCTGAAAACACATCTTCTGCGTCTTAACGTCGCCGGTTTCAGAAAGATCTACCGGAGGAAAAGTTAAAGATGAGCTTACATCTTGCGTGAGAACCTCTAAGGAGAAATCGGCACGAAAACTTTTTAAGAGGAATAATCGAAAATCATTTTATTGCCTACATTGTCGTTGCGTTTAGACGTATCTACTGATGAACCCAAAGACTGTATGGAACACATTAACTGCATTTTCAGACTGAAATGCCAATATCTGAAATAAATAAATAAGATAGATTCATCTATCCCATAACCGTCTTCACATTTAATGTATGAACTGAAATATGCAGATAAATGGTGTAATTGTAATAAGTCAGAGGTATTATTATATTATAATATCCCTTGTCCAATAATACTTGAGGCATTTCGATTATTAAATTTGTAGACTTCTGACGCAACTCTTATATTGGGTTATTTAATTGTAGCATTATATAATACCCATGTCTGTTAATATTTAAGCAGTTCCTGTACGATCACAGAAGTTAAGTAACATCGAGCCTGGTCAGTACCTAGATAGGTGACCGCTTCAGAACATCAGATGCTGTGAGCTTGGTTATTTAAGAACATGACTTTTGTTTTTATGCATTTGGGGGGGGGAAGGGTTTGCAGCATTTAAATTTTAATATTATGCTTAGTATCATGTGGATGCAAATCTGTCTAAATTGGGCGGAATCTCTCAAACAAGTCACTTTTCAAATATGTGAGTTGAAGAAAAGATCTTAAATTTGTTCTTTGATATGTATATAGGGATATGCCCAATCTCTCTCTCTCACACACACACACACACACACACACACACACACACACACACACACACACAGCTACACGCTTGGTGTGGTAAAACTGGAGATAAGGTAAAGATAATTCCACGTCTTAATAGGCATCAATATACCAAAATTCAAATATTTGTCGAAATGATAAAATTCTCATGGATTCATGAATGCTGGTTGATTTTTTCCTGCGGTCCTTTAAGTCAGTATTCTTTTTAAACATTTCACCCAATAAAAGTCAGGACACTAGTGTGCATAAATTTAGAGTGAAAATGAAAGTGAAAAGCCATGAGCGGGCATGAATTGAAATTGAAAGTAAAAGTGAAAGTGAAAATCCAATGGTGGGCGTGAATTGAAAGTGAAAGTGAAAGTGAAAGAGAATGTGAATAAGACGGATTGAGGAACGGACAAAAGATGAATGGGATTCAAGAAGATAGAAGATGTCGATTGACGTTGCATTTAAATTTTGGAAGACTTTAATTATCAGGGAAGCAAATATATGGAAGGGAGTTCCACAGGTGGTAATTGCGAGAAAAGAAATTGTTGTAGTAGAAGTGGCGGATGCATTTAGCTATATCAGCACTAAAAGGATGGGACCAAGATGCCCATCTCGTAGCACGGTTAAATTCATGTCTTCGAAACACGAGGGAAAAAGCTTGTCAGTGCAGTTGACATAAAAATATTTGTAGAAAAGACAGAGTGAAGCCACGTCTCATCAGTGAGAAAAGGACTAAATTGACATTTGTGTGCATATATATATATATATATATATATATATATATATATATATATATATATATATATATATATATATGAATGATAGAAATATAGTTTAAGATATGTTACATTCATGGGTAAAAGTGCTAAATATCAGTGATAGAGTGTATGCAAATGCAAAAGTGGAAACTAAAGTCAATATGAAGTTTCCACTTATATACATATGCGTGTGTGTGTTATTGTATAAACTACAAACATTATATTTGCTTATTTTTATCACAATCCTTTCATATTCACGAATATTTTCCGTATATTACAATTGAATAAGGCAAAAGGGCACTGCAATAGAAAAAGATGGAAATTACTTGGCAAATAAAAGCGATTCTCACTGTTGCAGCGCATTTCTTGCCTCCTCGATTCTGCCAGCAATGCATCGCCGTTTAAAATAATGACACAAACTCGCCTGAATTCCAATACTTGTATCCGTCGTTATTGATTGATTGACTTGTTTTTTTATGGCTTATCAACCTATTTCGGGTTATTTAAAGGTAGAAAATATTTTAGATTCTGAATAACGATTTACTGATATGAATCTTACTAATTAACTTATAGGAAGTAGAGATGACATTTATACCATGCCTGATGGTATTTGCGCCAAAATGAATATAACGAACCTAACTTGATTTGGAACTCGGCCCTTCGATTTCCAATTCCGAGTCTTTATTCATTAAACCACCCTTACATCAAAGCTTGCTGTACCTGGTATTCTCAAGCAGTCACCCATCAGGCTTGCTTAACTTTGTTGATCGTACGAGAAACAGTGTTTCAATATGGGCTTAAACTCCGTCACTATATAATGTGAAATTAAAAACAAGTTTAAATTTTATTCATATAAACCATTTGAAAAATGAGCATACCCTGATGAAAAAAATGCCTAAACTTAATAGAAACAAAGTGTTATCATCAAAATCAGTTATGTTATTATTAAGAGAGAAGATAGAAGGAATTTTTTTATTATTAAAATATATTTTTGAATCCATTTTAGTATCTTAAAAAAATATATTTTTTAGGTCCGCAAATGATCATAAATTAATATGTTAGCGACTTTTATGGTGAAAAACACATTGACTTTGGAAATTGCTGTAAATATGAAATAATTGTTTTATTTTAATGAAACTCACAGGATTTATTCACAAATGTACAGTGCAACCCCTGGTACTCGAACGTCTCACATGTCGAACAAATCTGTTTTCGAACAGAAAATTCGAGATGAAAATGCCTCGAACAACTTTACCGGACCGAGTTAACAGCAACGGAATCATTGTATACATTCGTGCGTTGTGTCATGCATTTCTTTTCCAATTTTATTGTACTGTGATTTTCTTTCCTCTACATTGATTCCTATTGGAAAAATAGTTTCGGTTTACGAACATTTCGGGTTACGAACGGCCTTCAGGAACGAATTAATTTCGTTAACTGATGTTCCATTGCATTAAATTATTTTAAAAATCTTTTTCAGAAAATCTTGTTAAAAATATTTTTTACATCTGTTACCACCCCACCAACTTACTTATTTAATTTTATGAAATTTCGTGAAATTCCTTTTTGCACGGCTTAACGTTTATATTAGTTAAAGCAAAAGTCTTAAGAGAATTTAAATCTTCAATTTTATTTTGTCAGAAGTACCACCCACAAACTTACAGAAAACCTGCTCTGAATGGTAAAATAAAACATGCAATAAAACTAATATATTATTTAATTAGAGTAGCTTTTAATTGCTTGTATGAATAAGGTATTAACACTTTTTTAATTTTAATTATAAAAATTGATAAAGTTTTAAATCTTAGGTGATATTATTATTAAGTAAATATTATCTTTACTAATCATAAATGGAAAAGCTTAAAACAGTTCAGCACACCCCAGTATTTTAAGAAGAATTTTGAATTTTTTATTCGGTGTGTATAAACGTGCCCCTTTTGTCAATACGGACATCCATAATCATCATCAGAAAATATGAGCAGTAAATGTAGTAAATTTAAAATTTATTCCTAATTTTAGAACATTTCCTTTACAAACGTCTTCATAAGTAAAAAGTACTTATAATTCAATAAAATTTTACATTACTCAGAACGTATCACTGTAATTCTAAGATTACTGGGTAGTTTTTTTTATAATATATATATATATATATATATATATATATATATATATATATATATATATATATAAAGTGCTTACATTATATACTTCAAGTATTTTTACAGATATGTCTCGTGTAGAAAAATAAACAAAATATAAGACTATGGAGAAAGTTGTCAACACATCATCATAACAACCAGCTGCATGTAAAAATGCTTTTCTGTGATACGTTATATTAAAAGTAAGTAATATTTTTTTCAAATGAGATTACTTAAACTTTGAATCAGATAAACTTCCTCAAATAAAAGAGTATACTTTATTCATCTTTAATAAGGAGAATCACGATGTAATGACAGATTCGCTAAAATGACTGATTCTTAGCAATCGTAACGATTTAAAAGTTATTCTAATCAACTTATATTCAGTTTGAAATACAGATGATGGCTTATGTAAGCCAAAAGCTTAGATCAATATTATGATTTTCTTTCATCTTTCAATGATAATGTTATTAAGCTTATCAGACGATATGAAAGGAATTTGATTAAAATAAATAGACAAAACTTGTCTATATTATTTACTAAAACATGCATTAATATATATATATATATATGCATACATACACACATATATATATATATATATATATATATATCAAGTTGGAACGAAAGATCTTACATGCTTATCATGTATCTTACAGATTAACATATCCATGCTTATAAATATATTTAATCGTCAATGTAACTTCCACTGCATCCTAGAACCTCATTATATTTGTCCACAAATTTATAGATGACACGTTTGTAAAATTCATTATCTTTTGTTGTAAATACGTCAAGTTCAACCCTGTTAGTTATTCTTAGCAATTTTAACGATTTAAAAAGTTATTCTAGTCAACTTATATTCGTTATTAAATGCAGAAATGTATTTTGGTTATTGTCAATACTTAATTTAATATATTAGCTTCAGACTAAAACTAAAATAAAATGTTCAGAAATAATTTTCATTTTTAAAAATGGATTTTAAAGTTTAGGTATCGTTTTTATTTGAGGTACATACACACGCGCGAGCGCGCACACACACGCACGCGCACACACACACACACACACACACATATATATATATATATATATATATATATATATATATATATATATATATAATAAAAATATAGAGAAAATAACAGCACACGTGGTCTGACGATTGCATATAGCATGAAACAGACTGCCGCCTCTAAGTGTTGACTTCTATGTTTCACTTTTATATTTACACACGCTCTATCTCTCATATCGAGCACTTTGCCCCATAAGTATAGCACATCTTAAGACTATATTTCTTCATATATATATATATATATATATATATATATGTGTGTGTGTGTGTGTTGGAACG